CTGGGCTTTGTCAGAACTGGTGCCTGACTTCTCCTTCATTGAATACTCCAAGCATCTGTGGTAAGTTTCTCCATATTGGCAGAAAACTTTTTTGTCATTGCCCTGTTGGTTTGGGCGGCTGATTTTTGTTGGTCAAATCTGAGTCAGTTTCAGCTCCAACCAATATTTCATCTGGATTTTTTGGTTTTTCCAAAAAGATTTGTTTTGCTCTGTGAGGCTCTGATCCCATCTGCTGATTGAGGGTCAGTGAGAAATATCCCTGACACTGCTGTTCTCAGTGTCACTCCTCACTCCTCAAGGGTAATTCCTGTCATCTGGTTGTCAGAGGACACTGATCCTGGAGAGTCAGTCCCATTATCCAGGCTTGTCATAAGGGTTTTTTGTGACCCTTCATCACATTTGCGCTTTTCTTCATCATTTGTGCTGCTGAATTATTATTTGAAATGCACAGATTGTTCAGGCCTTCCCCATTATTTGTCATATGGGGGCCTAGGCCAGTGGGAGGTCTGTCAGATTGTTTGTCCATCTTGGTGTACTTTGTTATTAAATTGTATCCATGCAAGCAAACCGTCCATTTCTATGTGCTTCACATAGATGGGCAGATTGACTCCCTTATGCTTGGTGGTTTGGCCATGGTGTACTGCTCTATAGTTGCAGTACTCAATGGCAAGCAGATATTCTCTTGACACTTGGTCTAGTCACTTTTGAACTAAAAGTTATGGTTGTGAGAGAAAAAGCAGTTTTTAAGCTAATTAAGTTAAGAGCCCAAATAAGTCCTATGATGCATTTATATATATTTTTACCCTAAAAAGTATAAGTACTTATTAGAGCAGGTATAAATACTATTTACCAGTCTTGCAGGATCATTGCTACCATTCAGAAATATTAAAAAATGTTAAATTTAGTACTCTATTTTTTATATATAAAAATATATAATTTTTTCAGGTTAAAAATGGAAGAAAATTTTAAATTAAGTGAAAGTGAAGATAAGTTTATTTTCATTGTGTATAGTGATAAAAAGATGAAATTATATTAGAAATAAGTGATAATCAGAGTTCTAGTGATAAAACAGACTTTATAGGGTATAAAAAGAAAAGTTGGTGTCCTTGAATCATTGGATAGTAGTATAAGTGTTTCAGCTGATGAAGCTTTGCAGGACAATGGATGGGTGGATATTTCCAATGTAGAAGATACCTCAAGCACAATAAAATATAGTTTTGGATCACACAATACTGGGCCACAAGTTTATATAAGTGGTGATAAATCTGTAGTGAAATTTAAGGGAAAAATCAGTTTCATAATATACAATTCCACCAAACCTTTAGAATGAGGATTACAAATTTATTTCCTGGCTGATTCTGAGATATCATATGTGTACAACATTCTTTCCCATTATGGCAGTATTACTACAGAGAGTCTAATAAGACCAAATTTTTCTGTGAGCACAATACCTCTCATTTATATAAAAACTAGAAAAGGTTCATAATGCCCATGTATATCACATGTTTATGGGCATGTATTATGCAAGCATGCCACTTGTGGAGGAACTCCTAATAATGAGATGTCATCTAAGTGAAACCATTTAATCAAAGTGTAAATAAACTTCAATCAGCATCAAAAAAAATAATTTTTCCTATAGGAATGTTTTTGCTGTAAAAAAGAAGAATGATGCTTTTGGCCTGGAAGGACAAAAGGGTAATTGTAAGTCTGGGAGAGCATCCCCTATGCATAGACTGGGCGGTGTTCCCATTCCCCACTAAAAAGGGTCCAAAGAGGGCAGCTGTCCCTATTGTCTCACAGGGTGATCTTGTCCATGTGGTAGACAAGCGTTGGGTACATCCCTCCCTCTGAAGATGCCACCACCTTTCCCCACAATTACCTCCACTAAATCAGTATAGAAAATGAGAAAATTTGCGCCAAAATAATTGGAAGCTGCCACCCTCATGGGCTGAAAGGTTCTTATGAAGTTGATGGCACCTTGCCCTCAAAAATCAAGGTCTGGAAGCCTTAAATCCTTGGTAACAAAGTCTGATGGGCTCACACATTCAGTGAATGAGGAATCAAGTGTCAAATCCTTAGCAAAACTTGCCAATGACATTAGGCTATTGGGAAATGTTGTTGGTTTGAAACTTGCTTCAAAAACACTGGGGACAAAGCCTAAAGAGCATGTACCTCTTAATAAGAATGTGTCCAATGATGAATCCTCAGTTTAAAATTGCCAATGGCATTGGGTCACTAGGCAATGTTGTTGCCTATTCAGAACTCCCCTCAAAAACATCGGGGACAAAGCCCAATGGGCATATATCTCCATTGTCAAATGTTGCTGATAGCTTAAAACCCTTCCCTTAAAAATCAGAATCATTGTTCTATGCATCTTGATTGTCCAAACGGATGTTGAAGCAACCAGGTGCAGGTGAGTTGGGTATCCTGAACTCATTTTCAACCATTTGGGACCGCACCTATGTGGGGTGGCCTTGGGAGACTCCCATAGCCCATCAGGTAAGATGCTGTCACACTGACCATCAGAAATGCAGTGAAACTACAATTCAGGCATCAGAGGTCAAACCAACAGCAACTTGGCCTGCTGCTGACTCCTTTGAAGTCAGTTCAGATCAAAATTTGTTTTTCCCCACCCATTAAAGTTTGCTGGGTTAGTTCAAAACTTGAGGGCCCCAATCCTGTGCTTTACTAAGTTATTCCCCAAACTGACCATCTATTTAAGCAGTTGTAATACACTGAGGAAAATGACGGTCAATTTTCTTAGTTTACCATTCATTAAAAAATCTCCCTTAGTTCTCAATTTTTGATTTATTTCAAATTCTTCCTTGCCAAACTCCCTATGGCATTAACAATGTGGCCCTTCAGGCCCTACATTGGCTGGGCAATACCAGTCATGATAGTAACTGTAGCACCTACCATATCAACTGGGTATATCATATATGAAACTTCTGGGAATTCAACCCTAATGTCAAGGCCATCTGCCAGTAGGATATTAAATCCTGTGGTCCCATATGTCTCCACTCCAAGTGAGGATCTGCTCTCTCACCTCCGTTTTTGTTTCAAACCCTCCTATGGAGGATACCAAAATAGCTAATCTGATTGTCAGACATTTGCCCTCTCAGCTGCAGAAAAAAATGTCTTGGGTCAAAATCAGCTGAAATGAGGAACTGTCAGCCATTTACGAGTTTCCAGTGACCCTGAATGCGATTTTAAGAATAATGGGACCAAAAATATTGGAGATATTGGCCTAAAGACCTTGACCAGTTCTTGGGGTATCCCCATTTCAACACCTGCATAGGCATCAAAATTAAAATTGAATGGTCAGATTTCCCTGACCTCACAATGGACCTTGGGGCAACCCTCAGAAGGTATTCCCCCAACCACCACCAGATCCTTCAAACCACCTACGTGGGGTCCACCCCTTTTATAGATGTGGCAGAGGCCCCCTGAGGTGAAATTAAATTCTCTAGTGGTGATTGGTTGTAATACATCAAAATCTTACCACATGGGTACATTCTGCCCCAAAACCCCAACCTTTGGTTTACCAAAAATTAACTCACTTTTCCCAAGATCTGATAGGATCATAACCCATATTACCTAAGTTGAAAGCATTGAAGCTATTCCAAACCTATCCCTGAATTCCCCCTTGACCCTCAAAATCAGTTTAATTATTGCTAGTCAAATATTGGAAAACTTTCACTTTTTGCTTTACCCCCGTGCTCCTAATAAAATTATAAAAAACCCAATTTTATAGTAGCATTCATTTTTATTTTTATTAAAAGCTCTGTGGGATCCAGTGGCATTAGCACCAGCAAGCACCCAAATAGCTGGATTCCTACACTGATTGCTTATCTTCATGCAGCAAGGCTTACTGGGTTTGGAGTTGCAACATCTTGGTTTCTTGCCAAGTTTCTCTTTACACTTGCAATACACCAATACTCACTTGTCACTTATCTCCCTGCACAATATAACGTCATTTGAGTGGCAATGCCTCTGGCATCTGGCTTGCCTTTTGGGTGCTTTTGCATCCTGACTGGCAGGACAGTCTAAACTTCATATGACATCTCCATGACAATAACAAGGATTTTTAATTCTACTAATGCTATGAAGTCAACTGTTTCTAGAGTAGGAAGAGCTGTGTTTAATTGGTAACAGATAAAAAGGCTATGGTACTAAGCTACATGAAATCTATGGGTAGAGTGGACTGTGTAGACCAATATGCATCCACATACTACTTCATTTGAAAGTTTTTGAAGTGATAGAGAAAGTTTTTTTAGGATGAAATGATGTTCTTTTAACACTTAAATCAAATATAAAGCTATAAATTAAAAAAATAATAAAGAAGAGGAGTGGTTGCATAACAGGGTGGTTTCTGATCCACTCTGGGTTGGGTTTTGATTGACAGGTTCAAAACCAGCACAGGCTAAAAAACTTGGCATGGTATATTAGTACCAAGGTTAACCTGCCTCATTTACTATAAAAATAATGTAAGATCTTTGAGTTACTTAAAATTAATAAAACTTCTAGTAAGCTAACTAATTGAAGACTTTTGTGAGCCTTGAAGTAGGCAATCTACTTCTTTATTTGAAGTATGACTATATGGTAAACTGCATATTTTGTAGAAAGGATTGAAGATGGACTGTGTGGTATGCTCACAGAAGAACAAAAATGGCGAATACATGAAGCATATGTATTGAGACGCTTGTCCTGATAAACTTAGGATGCATTTGGGAGATTGTTTTTTCAGATAGTATAATAGATGTATATATAAAATTTAAAAGTAATTATAGATTGTTGTTATCTTACTTAGATAGACTATACATGTATTAAAAAATATTTGAATATTCATATTCTTAATACCTTTTCCTTTTTTTAATAATTTTATCATAAATCTACCATTCTTGCTTATAATTGCAAAAAGGTACACTGGAGTTACAGGTATGTCATACAAAAAATTCTGGAGCTGAAAAAGAAAATAGAATACAAATTCCAAAAAATAAGGATAAATGGCCGAGTCAGTTTAAGGCGCCACGTTAAGGCCATAGTTTCTTAGGAGGCATGAGTTCAAATCTCGCTCTGTTCATTTTTTTACCTATAACTCTTCCTACTCTATTGGTAACTTTGTTTACACGGTAAGTTCTTTTTAACTCTTTTGGCTGACTATAAGTCACTATGATGCACATATATATTGTTTACCCTGAAGAATTCTAAATACTTAATAGAGCAGGTATAAACAATATTTACCAGTTTTGAAGGGTCATTGCTACTATTTCAAAATGTTTACATTGTTAGATTAAGTCTACAATTTTATATGCATGTGAAAATATACAAGTTTTTCCACCTTAAAAATGAAAGAAAATAATTTAAAATAAGTGAGAGTAAAGATGACTTTATTTTTAGTATGTACAAAAAAAATGAGACTATATTAGAAAAAAGTGATAATGAGTTCTATTGATAAATCAGACTTTATAGGGTATAAAAAATTGGTGTCCTTGAATCATTGGATAGTAGTTCAAGCGTTTCATCTGATAAAGCTTTGCAGGACAATGGATGGGTGCATATTTCCAATGTAGAAAATATTTCAAGACAATAATACATATTATTGGATCACACAATACTGGGCCACAAGTTTATATAAGTGGTGATAAATCTGTAGTGAAATTTAAGGGAAAAATCTGTTTCATAATATACAATTCCACCAAACCTTTAGGATGAGGATTACAAATTTATTTCCTGGCTGATTCTGAGATATCATGTTTACAACATTTTACCCTGTTATGGCAATATTACTAGAGAGACTAATAATACATATTTGCCTGTGTAGGGCTTCCAATTAAGCTTAATGGTGCTATGCCCAGAAGCCTGAAAGTCACTACTTGAGGCTGACTAAGTCAAATGACAATTAAATTTTTATCTAAAGGGTGCCAAGTCACCACTTATGTTCCATCAGCTAGAGTATCTGTCCTATGGGAAGCGCAATAAAATAGACTTGTTGAAGTCAAGTATTAAGGAGATTTAAAAATAACAACATAACTTTCTTATGGTATAAATCAGAGGTTTTTATATTTTGTAATTGACAATATAAACCCCAAAAGGAAAAGATTTGATAAAAATAATAGAGGGTAAAATCTGGAAGGGAAGCTTTTGGTCAGGTGATACATTCCAGATGTTATAATGCCTTTGTATTATACTTTTTATAGAGCAAAATAGTGAATATAATACTCAGGTTTGATGAGAATGCGTGTCACTTAGGTTGATCATTTAACAGCTTATAGATTCCTACCATTTTTCAGGTTTGTTCTTAATTTGTGGCCTTGAGTGCCACTGCAAGTAGTTATCATCTGACCTTCAGATGATCACTCAATTTGATGAGGCAGGAATTCATCTCATTGTATTTTTAGGCTCAACTTGGTTTGTTTGAGTTTTACTAGAGATGATGTCATGTCACATGACATCATAGTGGGGACCAACCCCAAGGATAAGGATGGGTGCCAGGAGGCCCAGAAGGTGAAGTTACAGGCCCTCCCTGACCTTAGGCATACCTTAGACCAACACTGGGTATGGGCAAAATATGCCCAGGTTGGTACTAGTGGGATGCCAAATGCCCAGCCCCTTACATCAGTCAGGCATTAAAATGGACGGTCTATCAAATTAAAGCAGATGGTTCCATTTTGGTTCATTGAGGAACAGGGTTTTGAAACCCATTCCATTTACAAAACAACGCGTTTGGTTCAAATCCAACTTCAATTGATCACCTGAGTGAAGTCAGTTTTGGCATATTTAACCAATTCAGATGGTAGCATTGGCCTATTGATGGGTTGGTGCTTGGGCCCACTACAGCAAATCCCTTATTCCCCTGATGTTGTTTAATTTTGTTTCCCATGACTAATACTCCTTGTCAGTCAACTTCCTAAATAAAATCTTTCCCCATTTTACCATTTTTTATAATGCTATTATGAATGATCATGTGCATGGACCCCTTTAAGGAGGTCTCATGCTACATCCACTAAACAGTTTTATAGATGATCTGGTTAGCCCCTTGTGCACCATTAGTTCACCCAGGTTCCCTCCATACTGTGACGCTTACCATTTTCCCTTTTGTGCACTGCATCGTTTTTGGTGGGGTTTTTGTTCTAATAATTGCACTTTTCCTATGAGTTATTATTGCTTCAGCCTCCTTTGCTGGGCTCTAGTAACTTTGGTTCTAACAGCTAGTTTCCATGCGTTGGCTCTGTGCACTGAGCACCACCATGCTGGAAACAGGAGAGTTATAGACACTCTCCTTACAGATGACTAGAGCTGTTCTGACTTTCAATTCCTCCAGGTAATTTATCAAGAAAATGTATTTAACCCCCTTAATGAGTTTATATATTGATTCAGCTGAGGGAGTCAAATGGTCAATATACTCCCATCATGTCTGATATCAGGATATCTGACATCACCCTTCAAGAATAGTTGCAGGTGAGTACTGATGTAAAATTTGACTATGAACGCAGTTGATTGTTACTCCAGTTTCCAAAAACTTGATTCAATCTTTGTCAACATTTATATTTTATAGCATAGAGCCCATCATGGATGGAATCTAATTTTCCTCTTCATGTTGCTATTCAATTGTGATATTATTTAGCTACATCTGAAATCTCAAAGATGGGTAAATTTTGGTGAGTTGCATTTGCTGCTTGACCTTCCCTTATAACCAATTGGTCATATTTGTCATTGCCTCTGACTAAAGTTTTATTATCTTCTAGGATAATCTTATTAGTGCTTTCTCAGGCTCTTTAATAAATCACTGGCAATTTCTTGAGCTAATAAAGCTGGGATTTAGGTTCTCTTTTGTGTAAGGGCTTGAAAGGAGACATTATGTTAAATTGATGGAAACTTATCCTATAATCCATCATTGCACTTTAGAGGTATTGGTCCCAGTGTAATGAATCAGTAGTGGCCATCTTGCATTGTATTGAGACCAATGCCCCATTTTCTCTTTCTACATTCCCATTAGTTATGGGTTGTAAGGCACTGAGAATAATTATTAAGTTCGCATTCTCATAGTTAAGATCCTCACAACTCTTGACAAAATATTGTTCCATTATCGCTTAGTAGAACATGTGGTCATCATCCTAGTAAATATGTTTTGGTATAAAAAGTTAGCAGTAGATTTAGAACTTTATGCAGGAATGGAAATTGCTTTAATCCACTTTGGAAATTTATCAATCCCTACTAGGATGTATTGATTTCCTCCTGTGGATTCAAGTAGTGGACCTACAATATCTAAACTGATGGTATGAAATGGCTGTTGAGGGATCATAGATTGATACTTGTAATTAGCCTTATGCAGCTTCTATTTTTTTACAAGTGATTCAAGCATAAAGACTTCCACTACAGAGTACAGTATTTTTTCACAATAGTAGTGATCCTTGATCCATTTGTAAGTTTTCCTGGCTCCTCCATGGCCTAAGGTATTGTGGGCTTTCATTATAATTGGTAACCATTCAGAAGGTCACAAGTAAGGTAACCTTTCAATTACAACTTTCTTATAAAGTAATCCATTAAGAGCCTTTGTATTTTAAGCATGTCATCTAAGCATCTTTTAAACAAAATTCATCTTCATCCTCCCAAGAGTCTGGATTCATGAGTAGATCATGTAACCATTTAGCCTTGCTATTGTCAAGATATAGCAGGGGCAGTCAAGTCAGTCCATCTACGTTCATGTGTATTATTCCATCTCAGTGGACAATATATATGTCATAGTGCTGAAGGTTGAGAGCCCATCTGGATAGTCTTCCTGTTAGATCTTTCATGTTTTTCAGCCACTTTAGGGAGGCATGGTCTGTCACAAATATAAATTTTGTACCATACAAGAGAGAGCTGGAAATGTTTCCACTTCCAGGAGAACAGCTAAGCACTCTTTATCTGTCTTACTATAATTTCGCTTAGCTTTGGAAAGCTTTTGCTATAAAATGACAATGTATGGTCAATGCCTTTCTCATTGAGTTGAGATAGGATGTCACCTACAGCTAAGTCAGAGGCATTGGTGAACATGATGAATGGCTTCCCATAGTCTGGATGTGTAAGATTAGTCAACTTTTCAAAAAGGTTTTCATTGACTCAAATGCATTTTTTAATCTGTTATCCATACAAAAGGGCATTATTGGCAATCAATTGGAAAAGAGGTTCAGCAAGTTGAGATAAGTTAGTGATAAATTGTTGTTGATAATCAATTGTTACTAATAATACCTGTATGTCTCAAGGGATTTTTGGCTCAGGCATCTTGGAGAATATTTCAACATTATTGTACAATGGTAGGATTCCTTATTGCAATATGGCATGCTTTAGAAATTTCAAGTCCTTCTGGAAAAAGGTACACTTTGCTAGTTTATTTTGATATGATTCTCTCAGTCATTAAAACACTGACTTGAGGTGGTCTAAATGATTGGTAACATTTTGGAATACATAGTTATGTCAACTAGGTATACAATCACACATCTGAGTTTGAAATCTTGCATTATGTGATCCATTGTTTGTTAGAACATGGCAGGAGCATTGCATAATCCCTGTGGGAGCTGCATAGGTTGAAATAGTCCTTATGTGCATATCAACGCGCAATACTTTGGTCTTCAGGTGATAGATTCATCTGCCAATAACTTCTGGTGAGGTCCATCACAGAGAAGAAATTTGAGCCAGAGAGTTGGGACAGGACATCATCAATACTTGGAATCAGATAAATGTTCTTCTTAGTGAGGTTGTTCAGCTTCCATTAATCCATCACTATTCTGTAGCCACCATTTTTCTTCTTTATGAGTAATAGTGGGGATGACCATGGATTATGGGAGGGCACAAGTAAATTCAGTATACAATAATTGCTTGATCTCAGTTTTCATGTATTGCTCCTCTACCTTCAACTTCTTATATGGCTCTGATCTGATAGGAATTGAATCTTCTATATTAATACTATGTATACAGTCTTTCATGTGACTATATTCAACACCTGATGTGAAAAACACATCCTGACAATTTTCAAGTAGTTGATGAACTTTCTCAAGTTTCTCCTGATATAACTTATTGAATATTTGGACTTTAGGAATA